TTTATATAAATATATATATATATATATATATATATATATATATATATATATATATATATATATTGCATTGCGAGCACAATATGTTTTGGCCTTTCTAATTTTCTCTATATCGTCTACTTCTTCTTTGTCGTCTCTTTAATTTTTCAGCTTCAGCTTCGTATGGTGTATGATAGGGGTTCTCTCACTCTTTAGTAGTTTGGTCGGAGATTTGTTTTCTAAATTTTCAAATTGAACAAATAACGGGATACTTTTAAAAGTACAAATGGAAATCAGACCAAGATAGAAGTAATATCTGACTTGAGTTTGGACGATTTTGACTTGATTTGAGTGAGGTTTAGAGCTTCACAAATTAAAGAGCAAAATCTTAAGTTTAACAAATATAAAATAACTAAACATCACCTCATATTAAAAACTAAGAAACAATCAATTGAGTTGCGAAATTGAGAAGAAAAGAGACAAGAGGGACAAAATCTTTGAGTCGGGTCTGTTGTGAATAGGGGTGGCAAACGGGCGGGTTGAATGTGGGCGAATCGAAAATGAATAATATAAAAATAGATAAATTATTCGATCAGATCCATATTTAATACGAATAGAAAATGGGATAATCGGCGGATAATATGGGTAACCATATTATCCATGGCTTTTTAAATATGATCCCTTACGAGAGAATTTCTAGTCTCCCAAGCTTGAGGAGCCCCAATTGAGTGTTTACAGTTGTAAAAGTTAAACTCATTGGTTATCTATTTTTTAAGTGGATAATATAATTCTTATCCATATTTGACCCGTTTTTATAAAGATCATCATCCAACCATTTTTAATGGATAACATAGATAGATAACTATTATTTTTTTAATCATTTTGTTACTACTAGTCGTGAAGTATAATCCATGTTTATGATGAATTATTATAACTACCTCACCAAACAAATACACTTCGGTAGCTACAAGGGAAGCAATCATGGGAATCCGACGAGTGACAAATTAATTGATTTATAATCCATGTATAAAACCATACGCACCCCGTGCTCTTTGTATTTTAACAATAAAGGGTGAGAGTTGAAATATGAGTTTAATTCATTATAGGGTCTTCTTTTAAGTGGGGTGAATTTTGGATCGGGTAGCGGGTTTTTTAAGTGTATCGGGTTAAAATAAAAAGGATGGGTCAATTTAATCTGGTATAACCACGTGGCATTTCATCCAAAATAAGGATATATTTGTTCCTAACGAAGAAAAAAGGTGCACGTAACTATCACATGAGAAAGTCAGTTGGTTGTAAGTAATTATCAGATCAATTAATTAGACAAAGACTAGGTAGGTAGATTAGGCGTGTATTGGAGACAACTATATATATAGATTGTAAGTACATGATTTAGTAGAATGAATGGAGATATTCTCATTTTTTCTCATCCGGACCTTGAGATCTCTTTCTAGAATCTTCTTTGTTTTTCCTCCATTTATGATATTACAGAGCTTTACTTGGCTTCTTGTTATGGTATCAGAACACAGGAATCTAAATCAAAGCTTGTTATAACTCTCGAATCTGTTAGTATTTGATTGTGATTCGATTCTGACAAACTAGGATTTACTGCTTGCAAACATCGGCAATTTGCTTCACTTGAATTTGTCGTTCATGGCGCTTGAAGAGAAAATTTTTGCAAACCTAGTACGGGAACGTCTAGTGCAGGAACGAGCATAGATCACCATCACCCGTTGTATCTACAGCCATGCAATACTCCGGGTAGCTCCTTGAATTCTATTAAGCTAACTGGATTTGAAAATTACGCATTGTGGAGTTGGTAAAAGCAAGCTAGGTTTCGTCGATAGAAGATGTACTACGGATAAATTTGATTTCTCTTTACATAAATTATGGGAGAAATATAATGCGATAGTACTTTCGTGGATTATGAATGTTGTTTGCCCATGATTGCTTAGTAGAATTGTGTACAAGTTAAGTGCTCATAAGATATGGATAGATCTCAAAGATAGACATGACAAAGTGGATGGATCTCGCATCTTCTACTTGCACAAAGAAATTTCCACTTTATCTCAGGGAACCTCCTCTGTCTCAATTTATTTTTCAAATATGGCAGATCTCTGGGAGGAATTTGATTCCTTAATGCCTTGTTCGGGTTGTGATTGTCCAGAATCCAAAAGCTATGCTGAACATTGAGTATCAACGATTGTTACAATTTCTAATGGGACTTAATGAGTTATATACTCAGGCTAGGAGTAAAATTCCGATGATGAGTAATTAAGGCTTACTTGATGATCATTTCAGAAGAAAGCTAGAGGTCCTTGGGGAAATTCATTCATATAGTAGAGAAAGTTGACGGAACTTCATTGTTCACTAATAAATGAGGTGTTAATCCATGAGGTACCTACAAACCGAGGAGATATAATCAATATTGTGACTTTTGTAATTACAAAGGTCGCACAAGGGAGACTTGTTACATGTTACATGGATACCCTGCAGATTTCAAGACAAAAAAGAGGACAACTGGATTTCATCAATGACCTGTGGCTAATGTAGTAGCACATGAAGGGCAACGAATGATCAATAGGCATGTGGCTAATGCAATAGCACAGGAAGGGCATTTGTTGATGAACAAATGTATGTGATTAGATCTTGAAATTGATTAACAAGGATAATCAAGGTGATCAAATTAAAGACTTTGCAGGTATAATTAGAACTTTTGCCATAAGTGATAGTGTAGAAAGTAGAAAATAGATAGTTGACTCAAAGGAAACTAATTATATGGTTCATAATAAAGAATTGCTAGAGAAGGTGGAAACTAAGTGTACAAAAAATACAGCAAAGGTATATCTTCCTGATGGTAAAACACTAGATATTGCTTGTACATGAGAGTGTAAAATTACTGAGAATGACACTATTAAGAATGTTTTGTATATGCCGGGATTTAAGTATAATATGTTGTCTGTCTCCAAGTTGACAAGAGATTTGAAGTGTTTTATCTGCTTTTATCCTGACTTTTGGATAATGCAGGGCCTTCACACCGGGAAGGTGAAAGGGATTAGTAAGAAATATGATGAATTCTACAGCTTGCAGCTACATAAAGTCAAGTTAAAAGTTGCAGCTGTGCAGTTATCTGGAGAAACTTTGAAAGAAGAAGATTTGGAGGTTTGGCATGAAAGCCTTGGCCATGCTCCTGACAAAGTATTGAAGTTGATTCCAAATATAAAGTTCAAGACAAATAATAGTAGAATAAAGGAATGCACAATCTGTCCTCTGGCTAGATAGGGAAGATTGCCTTTCCCAAGAAGTACAAATAGATCTAGTAAACCTTTTCAATTGATTCATGTAGATGTATAGAGTCCCTATAGAGTTCCAACTCATGATGGCTATAGATATTTCCTTACCATAGTTGATGATTATAGTAAGATGGTGTAGATTTACTTGTTGAGATTGAAAAGTGATGTCATTGTGTGTTTGAGACAATTTCTGGATATAATAAAAAATCAATTTGGTGTAATGATGACGTTCAAATCTACTACTAAAAAGTAAATAGACATGATCACATGCAATATAATTTACCCAACTATGAGTCGGAGTCGAATCCCACTAAAAACAATATGTAGGCGATTAGGCGTGTAAGAGAATTATCACTTATTATGCTAAGCCAAACACTAATAAAGGTGTTGAGAAGCATGGATGCATTGGAAAAATCATCAATGGCTACAAGCATGGATGTATTGGGAACTACACTCAAGTAATGATCCAATGTATTTCACGATTTTATAAATATGAGCGAGTTTATGTTAATTAGCCTCGAGTAATAATTATATATTAGCTTCTTCCGAAGACTAACAAGACTTCCTAATTGAATTATCTCTAAAACAATTAAGAGATTAAGCACACCCGAATATGGCTACAAGTAGTTCAATCCTCTTCCTTGGTAGAATCTATAAAGTGAGGGTTAACACCTCAAGTTCTTGTTACTTAATCTTTCCCAACCCCAAATTATCTTTTCCAAATTTAATTCGAAATTAATGGGGGAGTCATAGGGTTAGCTAATACCTTTGGAAACATTAAAGAACAAGAATAATTAAAGAAACAAAACTCATTTCATAATAAATAAAAAGCGTTCAATACATAAGCATAACAAGATATTTAATTCACACTTTAAATATGAATATTCCAATAAACAAGATTCAAGTATTGAAAAAAATACTACACACTTAGATATACAATACAAAGTAAGGAAATGAAGAAATGAACATAAATGGGTAAGAAATTCACAACCAAAAGTTTTAAATCTTCAAGACCCAAGTGTGTGTGCAAGAACCCTAGCTCCAAAACTTGTGTTTTCTAGTCAAGAAATGTCAAAGATGTGCAGAGATTGGCCAAAGATTGGCCAAAAGATGAGCCAAAGATAATTTACAATTGAGCTAGGTCGGGTATTAATGGGTTTGGGACCAAAAAATATGAAATTACAGAAGTGCCCAAAACTGAAGCGCGATACTCGCATTTGCGAAGTGAGGATCGCAATTGCGAACAATGGCATTACTGTTGACCCTTGCATTTGCGGTCTCAAAGTTTGCATTTGCAAATTTAAGCACTATGCACTTGGTTTCACATTTGCGATGAAGTAATTCTCATTTGCGAAGGTTGACTTCGCATTTGCGATTCCTCCATTGCAATTGCGACTTCTGCTATCTTTACTAACACTTCGCATTTGCCAAGTTGATGTCGCAATTGCGACATTTGAGGCTTTTGACTCTTTTTTACTTGGTTTCTTCATGATCACTTCTAAATCACATAGAACCTGTAAAATAGAAGTAAACGACATTAAACACATAATTTTATCAATCAAACATAGCAAAAATCTAAGCTTAAAGACGAATCTTCATGATTGGCTTTCATAACTATGGCTGGAAGGTTCGCATAGAATTCCCTCATCTATTGCTCATTCGCTCTGCAAGGTTGAGGGGCAAAACAGGTCCATCCTATGTCTACAAGCCTCTGATGGAACTCGGGAAGATGTTATGGGACCTTTTCCAGCAATATACCACTTTTCAGGAGCAACTTCTTCGTAATCAACTCGGCATAGTATCGTTCCTGGCATTCCAATGATAAGAACCGGTGTTGGTCATAGATGTCCTCTACTTCCAAAGGGTTGTCATGCGCGGATTCGTCGGAGTTAGAGGTAATTTTCAGCTTATGGTACTTGTAAACAAAGTATCAGAGTGAAAACGTAGTATGGCTATGAAATATATTGCAAAATGAGTCCAATATGCCAAAGAAATGATTGGACAGACAACCCAACCTTAGAAAAAATTTCAAGATTTTCAGTTCAGCAGAAGCCTGCTCTCTAATGCCGCAATTGCGAAGGCAGCAGGAATCCACAGAGGTCGCAATTGCGAAACAATCATCGCAAATGCAAAAATTGTTAGGTCTGATAGTTTTCACAATTACGGTAACCTTGTCACAAATGCGAAAAGGCTATCAAAATTGCGATGCCATCGTCCCTAGGAGCTCTTCAAACCCAGAACAGTCCAGCCCCAAAATTTTCTAACAAAATCACATTTTTAAAGAGTTCAATTAGTTTTTAGGCACAAAAGCATGCAATAAACTTCACATACAACCACTAATTGAAGAAATTTCAATGATTCGGCCAAGAATCTCATTCGGCCCTTTCATCGAATACATAGTAAGCACACAAAATCACTCCTATTTTAACAAAGCCATGGGTACTTAGACTTCCCCATTTTTCAACTAAAGAGAAATAAGCTCACACTCTCAACTAACCTCACCCATAAATCAACACATGATTTGACCATTTTTTTCAAACAATTTCGTACAAAAGAAAATGACCCACTTTGAGCCCTAACTGTTGAGAGATAAAGGAAAGAAGAAAAAGATACTACAAGTCATGAAGAACACAAAAAGTAAGCTTCCATACCTTGATACTTGCAATTAAGAGTGAGAAACGGTGGAACTTGAGAGTTGGGAGAGTGAGTAAGATACCGGTCGTTCAATTTTAAAGCCTCAAATTTTTTTGGGAACTTTTGTTAAATGTTCAGCAAAACTCCGTTTTAGTGCCTCAGAGGTCACAATTGTGACTGCGAGTTCGCAATTACAAATGATGAAAAGTCAGCAGTGTTCGCAATTGCGATGGGCTAGTTGTTCGCAAATGCGGACCGCTGTTCGCAATTGCGAAATTAGAGGCCTAGGCCTGATTTTGTTTTCACTGCCCAATCTCCCTACTTTATATCCCGAACACTTCTAAACTTCCTGCAATTTTGTAGATTGATCAGAAATAACAAAATTAACTATTCTAAAAAGAAAATTTTAAAAACAAAATGAAAATGTTAGAAAATTTTGAATATTTTTTGTTCAAATGCGGGCTTCCCCTTTTTTCTTTTAAATTTCTAGTGTTTTAAATCATTGGGAACTTACCTGAGCTACATGATCGCGTTCTAACGTCGGCATTCGCAGAGAACAAAAACTTCCCAAATCTTCGCGACCACGTTTGGTTATTTGCGATCGCGTAGAGGTAGGAAACACTTTGTTCTGCGCGAACGCAGAAGTTCCTATGCGATCGCGAAGCTCTGCCGTTTTTTGCAGTTTTTCTCAGCTACTGGTTTTTGGCTTCCCGGGCACCCCGACCTGCTCAAATCAACTCAAAAAATTCTAAAACTTTGCAGATTAGTCGAAAATAAAATACTAAGCTATTCTAAAAAATGAAAATTTCAAAAACGAATAAAAATTTAGAAAACGATGGGTTGCCTCCCACCAAGCGTCGCATTTAACGTCGTGGCACGACGCGAACTAACTTTATCACTTTTCTCGCCACTTGGAAGATATGAGTTGGGCACCTAACTTGGAATCAAGCTTGTGACCACGATCAGCAGGGGTGTTAAGTAGATGATCAAGTTAAACGCCATTTGCTTCATTTTGTATTTCTTGGCTTTCATGTGAGAATTGTCATTTTGCCTTCTTGTACCTTCAAATTGTAAGATGTATGGCCCTTGCCTCTCCTCTTCGCAATCCCTCATTGACTCGTGTAGTTCAATTTCCATATCACCACATAATTCAAATATTGAGAAATGCTTGGAATGTGACATCAAGCCTCCAAATTGTAATTTTTTCGGATTTTGACATCCTCTTGGCTCCCCGAACTAGAGTCAAATTCAACCATATTTTCAACTACATTGGTTGACTCTAATACCATATTTTTCTTGGCATCACTAACAAGTATGGATTCGGTTGGCGGATGTTCAATTCTTGATTCCTCAAAATAAAGCTTACTTTCTTCCTTGAAGTTGGACTTTTCTTGAACTGTTTCCACACTCTCAAGTTGGTGGGCATAGTGAGCATCAACCAACTATTTCATTTGATCTTCCAAAGTACGGATAGTCATCATTTCGATTTAGTGCTTATTTTAAGTCCTCGAGTGCCAAGTTTTGCTTCTCCTCATTTTCAAGAATGGCCTCCAACATGAGCATCATCCTCTCATTTTGAGCATTTGAGAGTTCTTCTTGGCTTTGATCAAGTGCCAAAGAAGGATTTTTGGCTTCAACCTCTAAGGAAGGTTCTTGGCTATCATCCACTTCTGAGGCTTTTTGGACCTCTAAAGCTTCAAGCATTTCTCTCATTTGTAAGTTCAACCTTTCAAGTGCTAAATCATTTTGGAGACTAGTTTCCAAAAGTTCCTCCAAGGCATTTTGCTCTTTGTTTTCTCCTTCAAGTGGCATTCCATCATGAGCTTGAACTCTCCAATTTGACCATGCTCACTTTCTTTAACTTCCATATCCCTATACTTGTTATCACAAAAAGTAGAGTCATCATAGTGGGGGTTCGGGGAAGGGAAGGAAAAATAAGCATAATTATCCCAATTGTCATTTTGACCACCACACATATCACATGTACTCCACTCATGGGTTTGAGATTGTGCACACAATCAGCCCCCGGGAGAATTTAAATAATTTTGCCATAAGTGTGGTCCTCCACAATAATGACAAGGGTCATCAATGTCCAAATCCACTACTAAAAGTAAATGGAAACGGTCGCATGCAATATAATTTACCCAACTATGAGTCGGGGTTGAATCCCACATAGAACAATATGTAGGCGATTAGGCGTGTAAGAGAATTATCACTTATTATGCTAAGCCAAACACTAATAAAGGTGTTGAGAAAATATTTATGTCTAAATGCGTAAATGTAAACTAACCTAGAAAGCGAGTACACTGATCAATGGCTACAAGCATGGATGCATTACGAATTACACTCAAGTAACGATCCAATTTATTTCACGATTTTACAAATATGAGCGAGTGTTTATGTTAGTTAGCCTTGGGTAATAATTCTATATTAGCTTCTTCCAAAGACTAACAAGACTTCCTAATGGAATTATCCCTAAAATAATTAAAAGATTAAGCACACCCGAATATGGTACAAGTAATTTAATTCTATCCCTTGGTAGAATCTATAAAGTGAGGGTTAACTCCCCAAGTTCTTGTTAATTAATCATTACCAATCCCAAATTATCTTTTTCAAAATTAATTCGAAGTTAATCGGTGATTCCGAGGGTTAGCTAATCCATTTGGAAGCATTAAAGAACAAGAATAATTAAAGAAACAATAACTCACTTCATAATAAATAAAAATCGTTCAATACATAAGCACAACAAGATATTTAATCCACACTTTAAATATGAATAATCCAATAAATAAGATTCAAGTGTTGGAAAAAATACTACATACTTAGATATACAATACAAAGCAAGGAAATGAAGAAATGAACATAACTGGGTATGAAATTCACAACCAAAAGCTTCAAATCTTCAATACCCAAGTGTGTGCGCAAGAACCCTAGCTCCAAAACTTGTGTTCTCTAGTCAAGAGATGTCAAAGATGTGCAGAGATTGGCCAAAGATCGGCCAAAGATTTGCCAAAAATATTTTACAATTGAGCGAGGTCGTGTATTAAAGGGTTTGGGGCCAAAAAATATAAAATTACAAAAGTGCCTAGAACTGAAGCGCGATACTCACATTTGCTAAGTGAGGATTACAATTGCGAACAATGGCATTACTGTTGATCCTCGCATTTGCGATCTCAAAGATCGCATTTGAGAAATTAAGCAATGTGCACTTGGTTTCTCATTTGCGATGAAGCAATTCGCATTCGCGAAGGTTAGCTTCGCATTTACGATTCCTCCATTGCAATTGCGACTTCTGCTATCTTTACAGACATTTCGCATTTGCCAAGTTGATGTCGTAATTGCGACATCTGAGGCCATTTTCCAGATTTCTTCTTTTCAACTTCTTTTTGACTCGTTTTTACTTGGTTTCTTTATGATCACTTCTAAATCACATAGAACCTATAAAATAGAAGTAAATAAAATTTAACACATGATTTTATCAATCAAACATAGCAAAAATCTAAGCTTAAAGATGAGATAAGTTGGTAAAATACCAACTTATCATGTAACAATGAAGATTTTGAGAAGTGACAATGGAACTGAGTTTTTCAATTCCGAATGTAAAACTCATTTTCAATCTTATGGGATGATTCATCAGAGTTTTTGTGTACACACTCCACAACAAAACGGAGTCACTGAAAGGAAGCATCGGCACATAGAAATAAATTTAAATTTTATCCGGGAAAAAATTCAACATGGGATTGTCAGGACAAGATATGTTATGTCAAAAGACCAAGAAGCAGATTTGTTCACTAAGAATTTGGGGAAGACACAATATGAGTATTTGATTAGCAAGCTAGGAGTGCTTAACTTATTTGCACCACCTACCTTGAGGGAAAGTATTGAGGAGAAAGGGTGCACGTGACTGTCACATGAGAAAGTTGGATGTAAGTAATTATCAAATCAGTTAATTAGACAAAGATTAGGTAGGTAGATTAGGCGTGTATTGGAGACAACTGTATATATAGATTGTAAATACTAGACTTAGTAGAAAGAATGGAGATATTCTCGTTTTTATCTCATCCAGACCTTGAGAGCTCTTTCTAGAATCTTCTCTGTTTCTCCTCCATATCTGATCTTATAGAGCTTTACTTGGATTCTCACTAGTTCCATAGTATAACCGTAGGATCTCAAATAATGAGATAGTAAAACGAAGGATATATTTAAATTATTTTCGATAATACAATGGTATATTTGACCCTTCTCCATTTTCAAAATTTGTTTTGCAATAAGAGTTTGAGAAAAGTTTTTACTCTTTAAAGAAAGGATATTCTCAAAAAATTCTGCATTCTTTGTTTAACTATAGTATTGTGCTCAATCATATCACTATTAGTAACAAAAATTTTATATGCAACAATATTGTTAGCATAGTCAATGAACATATAATCAAAAGTCTTAGATCCTGTTTTTCTTTTCTTAGGATAAGGTGGCATAACCTTAGAAAGACACCCATATACTTTTAAATATTTCAGGTTAGGGGATAACCTTTTCACAATTCATAAGTAGTTTTACAAATTTACTTATAAAATATCATTTGAGAAGCAGACAAAATAACTTCACCCTAAAGATTATTCGATGCAGGTGAATTAACAAGCATACAATTCATCATATCTTTTAAAGATGTCTCAGCTATTCCATTCAATTTAGGTGAATATGAAGGAGTAAGTTCATGTAAAATTCCTTCCTTTTCACAATAATCACTAAGAAAAATGTATTCGCCACCTTTACCTGATCTTTACTCTCTTGATCTTCTTATTGGATTGATTTTCTACTTGAGATTTATATAACAAAAACACATCAAAACCTTCATCCTTATTTCTCAAAATTATACTTTCGTATATCTAGAAAAGCCATCTATAAAAGTAATATGATATCATTTATCACCTCTAGTCATAGTTTATATCAAGTCTCCCAAATCATAATTGTGAATCAAAACTAGCAATTCAGATTCTCTAAAAATAAAAGCATGCGATTTTTTGGTTTACTTAGCTTCAACACAATTTCACACTTATCAAAATTTGAATAATCAATATTAGAAATAAGGCCTTTAAATAGTAATTTTTTAATATAAGTTTAACTAACAAGCATGCAACAAATCAAAAGAATCAATCAAGTAAGCAGAAGTACGAACATTTTTATTCATAATTAAGCTGAGAAATATTTAGTACAAATAAACCATGGTTATAATAACTCGTGCCCAGAAAAGTATTACTTTTGACTAATACAACCTTATCAGACTCAAATAAAACCTTCACTCTAATTTTTTTTTAATAATCCCACAGAAACTAAATTGGTTCGCATATTAGAAACATGCAACATTAGTTAACACTAGAGTTTTTTCAAATGAGAATTTGAGAAGAATTTTTCCTTTTCCAAGAACTTGAGTAGTCCTTGAATCTCCACGATAAACAACTTCTTCTCCTTCTTCAATTTGGGTGTAAGACACAAAATTATTTTATTTATATGGTTGGCCCTGACACCACTTAGAAAATAATGAAGAATTAACTCAAATAGCCGCCTACTCAACCACTTAAGCTAAAAATAGCCACGGGAGGTATAACATATGCATAATTTATGTAATATATATGTATAATTATGTATAATAAAAGTATAATAGGGTATTATCACTTTTAGCCCGTGCCAGAAGCTATTTACATTTGGTAGCCGAAAAGTGTATAAAATTTATATATTTTTTTATATATAGCATACAGAATGTATATATACAAAAATATATATTTTTCGGCTATTATTTTGAGAGCGGCTATACAGTGTCATTTTTTCATATATAATCTATATATATGGCTAGAAAAAAGAAAATAATAAATGGGCTATTTGTGTAAAGATCCCAATAATATATCCAGAAATTTTGTGCCTGTTTCGTTTAGAAAAATGTTACAAAACTTTGCAATAGAGTAAAAATATACTCGTATTGGATGTTTACGCCAAGTCAACGGATAAAAGACATATATCCCGTTTTTAAAACAACATCAGCCTTTCGGTTTAAGAAAACCTTTGGCCTACAGAAATCTAACCAAAACCCTGTACACTTTACCAACTCCGTCTAACTAAAATTAGACTAATCTTCTTTAAGCAGACAGAGACAAATTACAGGTAGGTTTCTACAGAACTAAACACATATTCTCCCAAACAGTCTTCTCAGAAATTATTTTAAACACAACATATTGTCAATATTGTTTTCCGAAAACAAAATAAATTCAAATGCCACCTACTATTATCACACCAGAGGCTAATAAAGTGAAATATATCCATAAAAAAAAAAATGGAAATCCTATGTTCAATACTCGATAAAGACAACAGCAATATTTGTTACAAATAACCAGAAAGGTGGAAGAAAATCCAAAGAAAAGACAGCCGAAATACCCAATAATTTATACGCCAAAAAAAAAGTAGAAAACTTGCACGCACCTACTTATCTTTTATGATGAGCTATGTTTTTCTAGTCCTACCACTGAAAGTGAACTCATAATAATATTCAATCAGTAGACCAATCAATATCATAATTTTACCAGTTTGTCACTCAAACGAAACTGGGCCCATCTTTACTGAAGTCCATGGATACCTTAGCAGGTGCCGAAATTGAAGCTGAAGCGTATCTCGTGGAGAAATTCCGCAGCACATACTCTTCTTCCTCCTCTTTGTTATTCCCAGGCCCTTCATCGAAGTTGAGTGAGTAACTCAGAGGGTCATATTGGAATTTAGCATTAATTCTCCCGCTTTTGTTCCGATTGAACCGTCGGATGAAAGTCTTCCATCTTGGTCCGGCCACCATCTCCGACCATTCTCGTAGCTTCTTCAGAGCGTTGATTCCTTTGGCCCATACGGACCGTGTTGATAATTGATTTGTAGAACCGAAAGATGGGAAGCAGAAACAACGACGCCGTTTGTTGAATTGCGTTTCTGAGTTCTCGTTGCTTGTTTGGGAAAATTCAGAACCTGCCATGGAAATCGCTTAATGCATTTATATATGAGTGTGTGTGTGTGTAAGTATAGACACAGAAAGATAAAAATTGAAATTATGCACTCTAAAATATCTGTTGGATTAGAAGACAAAAGGGTTGTGACACTGGGGAATTCCGTTTCAGGTAGAAAAAGAAGCTGACTAGGGGTGTGTTTGGTATTAAAATGTTGTCCCATTTTCTACTGTTTGTTTGGTTGCACAAACTAGTTTGAAAGATATTTTTCTAAATTATCATATTTTTCTAAATTATCATATTCTCTAGAAAAAGTTAGGAAAACATGTTTTAAAAACTTAATATACCCTCACATCTAACCCCAATCTTTTCAACTTCAATTTTCTCTGTTTTTTCCATTTTTCTGCGCCAACCCCATTCCCCCTCCCCCGCAATTTTCTTTTCTTTTTTTGTATTTTTAATTTTCTATTTTCTGTATTTTCGTTTTTCTGCACCACCCACCCACCCCA